CAGAACATCCTTCAGCTTCAACTCCCTTCCAGAAGTGAGCTTCAGCACCACCGTGCCCACTCCAGCCACATCAGACGTGGAGGAGTTTCCCATGTGAAGTTTCCGACCCGCAACAGGAGTGTATTCAGAGAACACCTCCTTGTCGGAACACACATGACGAGTGGCACCAGTATCAATGTACCACTCTTTTGGGTTATCCACCAAATTGGCTTCAAACACCACAGCCGACATATCAAAGTCGGTCAATTCACCCGGCACAGGGCCGTGTTCAGCAACAAGGGCACTCGGTTGCCATTTATTTGGCCCAGCTTTCTTTGGCCTCTTGCAGTCTTTAGCCATATGGTTTGATTTTCCACAATTGTAACAAGTTCCGGTAAACTTCCAAACCTTGGCTGGCTGCTTTCCCTTATTCTGGGTCTTCCTCTTGCCCGAGTTTCCTTGCTCCAGCAAGTTGGCACGAGCTTCCATCATCGGGACTTTTCCTGATGACTTCTGGTTGTCTTCCTCGATACGAAGACGAACTATCAGATCTTCAAGACTCATCTCCTTTCTCTTGTGCTTGAGATAGTTCTTGAAGTCCTTCCAGCCTGGCGGTAGCTTCTCGATCACAGCCGCTACTTGGAATGACTCGCTCAAAGTCATCCCTTCAGAATGGATATCGTGCAAGATCAGCTGGAACTCTTGTACTTGTGACACGACAGTCTTCGTGTCAACCATCTTGAAGTCAAGAAATTTGCCGACGACGAATTTCTTCGCCCCGGCATCCTCAGTCTTGTACTTCTTCTCCAGGGCAGCCCAAAGCTCCTTGGCAGAACCAACAGAGCTGTACACATTGTACAACTCGTTACTAAGCCTGTTCAGGACATAGTTATGGCAAAGGTAGTTACCTTGCCCCCAAGCATCGTACGCAACGCGTAGTTCTGCATTGGACTCATTCTCAGAAATGACCGGAGGGTTGTCCTTCAGGTATTTCACCAAACCCAAAGTGGTCTGGTAAAAATGCATCTTTTGTTGCCACCTCTTAAAGTCAAGCCCGTTGAATTTTTTGGGCTTTTCAGCTGTAGGAACATGAACAGCAGGTACATGATTGATCGGATGTTGAGAGCTGGAACCTGCTCCAGTGGATGCCATCAGTTCAGTAGGATGACTGAGTATTCTTCTTGCGATTGTTGGATATACGGTGTGAAATTACACGAGAATCCTACGAACTGATATGTATTTTCAGTTGTTACAAATAATCTAAAAATAGAAAATTACAATTGAACTGAAAAATAAATTACAACAGAAAAATGGAAAGATTTTAGCCGAGGCGAGTAAAACTCTTTCCGCAAGAAAAATACGCCCGTGTGGCAGCTAACGGTTCAGGCGTAACTTCTCCAAAGATACAACGGCAAACATCTCTAAATCTGTAGCACACCAGATTTACGAGCTCCGGCGAACGGAAACGGAATCGAGAATTGAGCACTTAGTAATAAAAGGAATATCTTGAAACAAATAAAAATATCACTTATTTTTTCTCTTTTGATATTTTTATATCCGATATTTGGACATATATTTTTCTTTCATTTCCTTTCTCTTTCTTTCTTCTCTCTTTCTTTCAGATTTTTGTGTGTTTTTTCTCTTGTGCCGGGTCTTCTTGTTATAGGTAGTGCAATACGCCTTTTAGTTAGCTGGGAATCTACGAATTTGATCAATTTGCCTGACAACTTGTAGTTGAAAACATATTCTCCATTTGTTTATTAAACCAACTTGCCCACTAACCATTTAAAATTTTCTCATTCAATTTGATGGCATATTATTCAAGATGATTTACCATAATATGTTAATCAAGAAGGGGCCCACTAATTAATTTCCACTCAATAATTACACAGATAACATAAACAATGAACACTTGACAGTGCATTGATATAACTGTAGCAACCAAAACCAGGGCAAGAAAAAAAGGCACAGATCCAAAAAGAACTACCCTTTACCAAAACAAAACGGATCGAATATTATTTTCTCAAAAAGATAAAAGCTCAGGCAAGTA